CAGGAACAGCATGTAGTGGACTGGAAACAATTTTTTGGAAGATTTCAATGATTTGATGGCTTTTTAATGTACGCTTACAAATGTTCGGTATCTTATTAATTGAGGACCTTTTGTTTCTGTTTATAGTTATTAGTATCTTTATGCCAGTGTGAGTTTGGTTTGGGTTTCTCAGACTGAAATGTTTATTGGAACAATATAGGGAATTACAGACTGACAGCTTGCAGTTACCAGTGTTAAGGAAAGTAAGCTGACATGGGGGTCTGTCACCTAGTAGTGAAATACAGTGATGACATACGGTCCATTGACATAAGTTTATGGGATGACTTTTTTTTTTTTAGCAGCATGATACAAGTTCCATGCAGATGGGTCTACAGGGAATATTTTTACTGACTAGACTGGTGTGGTGGTTTTTGTTTTTTCAAGATCATACATATTCATAAAGGTTGTGGGTTTGATAGAGCTGTGTCAGGACTTTACAACACATTTGGTTTGATACTGTATAATTTTTTTTTTCTTTTGGAAAAGTAATTTGTAACATGGATGATGCTAAACAGAAGATTAGTTAATAACTGAAGGACAGGAACAACTGACTGGTTTTGAGAGTTACAATGTGGGACCCAGTACGCTAGACATACTATTTCAATTAGATTTTGCACCAGCGTTTCAGGGTTAGAGCCCACAGCATCTAATCAGGCACCGCTGAAAAAAAAATGGAATTTTATCATCTTGTAATTTAGAGTATTGACATCTTAGCCATTAATAATTTGAAATGAAGGTTAAAAAATGCTGAGAAGGCAGAAACAAATGCTGAGTGTCTGCCTTTAATTAAAACTGGCCTTTGCTCATGGAACTGGTCTTCTGCAAACTGAAATTAAATGATGCTAATGGCAGCGGTGTCAGAAGGTGTGTATGTAGCCCACAGAGCAGTTATTTACCTGGGAAAGTGGAATTGTGGTTGTGGTTCGTGACAAGCAACATCAAAGTAGGTTCTTTTTTGTAGGTGGTGTCACCGTAGCCGGCTATGGTGGGAAAGAAAGAATCCAAAGGTAACTACTGGTCTGAGTTGTAAGCAACTTACGCAGTTGCTTAATGAAAACCAAGGCAGCTTAAAAGAGGAGGTAGCTCCGTATCAGCAACAGCTGAAATATCCCTGTCAGTAGCTGTTTCACATTGCCAGAAAGAGCTGAAACTACCTGCAGCACCTTAGCTTTTAATTGCCCACCTAAAGTGAGCTCTGTAAAAGTGAAGAGAAAAAAACCTCAGCTGAGGAATACTTCTAGTGGAGCGAGTTTTTTACGGAAAGTGGTGTGTCTCTGTCCTGCTGTACCAACTGTGAAACTGAAGAGCTGCGTAAGTGCCATCATGCCCAAATTGGTGGGCCCGGGTAAGGAAGTAAGGCATAATTCAGCCTTTTTGCAATGAGCAGTATGCTTTTGTGGGCCGGCCGCTTGCTGAATTTTGCTTAGCTGGAGAAGGAGGGAAAAGGAGGAGAGTGCTGCGTGTGTTGGGATGGAAAGGACTCTACCATTTTGGAAAAACAGGTTTCAACAGTTTTTCGTTACTTACATCATTGCTCCTTGAAATATTTTGTCCAAAGGAGGATAGATTGCTGAGGACGCCTGTTAACCAGCTAGAGCGCAGTACCATACCGATATGGTATGGTTTGTGGCACTAAACTGAACATAGCAATATTAATTTCTGAAAACAGTTGCAAAAAGCTTATAAAACCAGACAGGTGGCAATAGACGTGAGGTTTTGTCACTGGCTGAGGCTGAGCTGACCACTAAAGGAACGACAGACACTCTCTATTTCCCTTCACAAAGGGGAAGAGAAAGGGAATAAGGGAGAAACAGTAAAGGAAATGATAATAATATTAATGAGCCTGCACAGGGGCCACTGTGTTGTTTCAGATGCCATTTTATGGCACGTAGTCGGCATTTCGGACAGTCTCACG